ATGTTAAAAAAAAAAAAAAAAAAAACAAAAAAAGGATAGGAGCGTAAACAGCACTTCCCTGGGCTGTTGACACGCCGATGGTAAGAGAGCATGTGGGGGTGAATTCCCTCCTGTAAGTTGTTTATAAATAGCATACTCTTCCCCATTCCTGGTGTGCGTGTTCCACTTCTGTTAGCTAGCACGAGGGAGTCGATGCCTTCCTGTCTGGCAGTTTAGTGACTTAATGCATGTTTGAGTAGCTGGCCTCACCGGTTTATTGCTACGCATACTTCTCTATGGAAAAACTGAGGTGGGCGATGCAAATGGAACCGCAGCTCATGTCTCTGCCTTCCCTTTCCTTTCCTCCTCGCTGTTCTCGGCCCTGCGCAGTGATTTCTCGGTGAGCACTTCTTGTTGCTCTCTCTGTACCGTGCAGGCACGGGGAGGAGGCTGCCCTGAGCATCCTGGAAGGGCTCTCCCCGCTCTGTCTCTCTATTCGGGCTGTGAGCTGCGGACAGAAGGAAATTGCTGTGATCTTTGTAGCTGTAGCTAGTTTCTCCTTGCAGCCAGCTTCCTGTGTGAGGTATTGCTGCTGTAAAGTATTGCTTGAGTGCTAACGAGTGGTTGCCCATCGCCAGGAGAAGTGCCGTGCCGTTAGGCTGGCAATGGGTAATTAATCAGGAAGCAGGTGTGTTGCACAAACCGCATCAGCATCTGCATGGGAGGAGAAAACACTGCCCTATTTAATGAGAGAATGAGCTGCCTTGACACAGGGCAGTTGGGAGCCAGGTATTCTGAATTCTGTATTTATGACTTCCTGATTTGAGGCATGTTGCCAAAGAGGCTTTCACCTCTGCTAGTAAACGTCTCTAGCTGTTGAAAAGGTCCAAGTGTCATTATGAGAGTTTATGGCACAGTTGCCTCTGGAGTACTCCACGGAGTAAAATGCTCTTCTGTTGGTTCAAAGAAGATAGCACTGCGCTGCACTGGAACCAAGTCTGAAGCCAAAGCCGGTCCAGCTGTCTCTTGCAACTCAAGCCCAAGCAATGTTGCCTTCAGTAAACATTTAAGAAACAGGGCTCTCCTTGTCTGTTCTGATGCCTGTTAAATGATGTGATTTAGTTGAGAGCCATGAGTTTTGCTTTCTGGGGTGAAATTCATTCCCTCTCTATGAAAGTACCAGTATCAGAATATGGCCCTGACATGGGGCTAAGAGTGATCGTGCAGTCCAATGAGGTGGTGAGACCAGGACAATAATGCTCAAAGTTGAGTTATGATCCCTGAGCTGTTTGCCTGGAAAGTGCACTGCTGCTAGGTCACTCTTCCATCCAGATGCACTGCACAAATTCTGTTGCACTGTACTGATTCTGCTCTTAAAGCCAGCCATTCCTGGCAAATAGCCTAAGGGATAATTGGTAATCCTTTCGGATGCCTTTAGAAGGGACAGATTTTAAAATATTAGTTACAGGTGCTTGCAGTCAGAATTAAAAGGAAAGAAAGGTTGTGTTAATACAGTGCTATGACAAGCAACTTTGGCGTCTTCATTTTTTTCTCTCACTCCTGTGTGCTGTATGTAAGTGAAGAAATTCTGTTGCAAAGATAATTACTGCAGTGCAATGAGAAGTTCACAGTGCTTTTTAGGCAAAAAGAGTTTGCAATCTAGAATAAAACATTCCTGTCAGTACACTGCAAGCCCCAGGAGGACTTGTGCAGACTCCCAAAAAATGGTTATTTGCCCTCTGCAGGTTAAAATACTGACATAACCCACATAATATGAAATTCTGGTACTGAAAGAAGAAGGATCAGTGCCACAATTATCCTGAAGTCTAAAGTTCCTAAGTTGTAGGGTGGATACTGAAGAAGGTGTTAAACAGTACCTAGCCAAAAAAACAACAACAAAAAACCAAATATGTTTGAAATATTGTCCAAATTAGAATGCTAGAATTGGCTGGAAATTGAAAGAGAAATGTACTGAAATTTGCAGTTTTTTTTTTTTTTTTCCATTTGCAACACCAAGGAATATGGCAATTACTCTTACTTTCTTTTAAGATCTTACTAGTGAGCTTACTGGACATAACTGTAATTGAAATCTGGCAGCTTTATGTATGGCAATACGCGTGCTTATTCTCTACATGTCCATCTTAATGTCTCTAACTGGCAATCTCAGTTGTTTATAGCTTAAGTACCGTGAGTGTGAATTTAAACTGAGGTAGTTCTGCAGTTGTTGAATTTCATAGAGTATTATTATTATAATCATGTAACTGTAGTGGCTTGGAATTTGTGTTTTAATGTTCACTTACCCTGTTTGTTTGTATTTTCTTTTGCCCACAGGACTAGAGTGAAATTGGAAAGCCTAGAAGATGCTTATATTTTAAGAGGAAATGATGACTCTCTTTCTGATAAGCATGGATGCCCAGCCTACGTGAGTCCAGAGATCTTGAACACAAATGGCAGCTACTCTGGCAAAGCAGCGGACGTATGGAGTCTAGGTGTCATGCTTTATACCATGCTAGTTGGACGCTATCCTTTCCATGACATTGAGCCTAGTTCCCTCTTCAGCAAGATCCGTCGTGGGCAATTTAACATTCCAGAAACTCTATCCCCCAAGGCAAAATGCCTCATACGTAGCATACTGCGTCGGGAGCCATCGGAAAGGCTGACTTCACAGGAAATTCTGGACCATCCATGGTTTTCTACAGATTTTAATGTATCGAATTCAGGATATGGTGCTAAGGAAGTATCAGATCAGCTGGTGCCTGATGTCAACATGGAAGAAGACTTGGACCCATTCTTTAACTGAGCACAAAGACTGGTGTTCAGAAGGTACACGACCTGGAGATGGACACATGAAGGAGCCCTTCCTGACCGTGTTAAATCACATCCTGCATCAGCCTAGCTTGGTAGCAAAAGACACTTGGAGATCCTTGGATTGAGAAGGAATCTCCACAAGGAGCTAATATAACAAATGTAGCATGGGGACAGATTGGGGTGGGGGGTGGGGGGGGAGCTTGCTATCAGGTTAGATTGATTTGGAGGGAAAAAGGCAGCATGGAGCAATTGTAGCTTCTCACCTTTTCGGAGCCAAGGAGACTGCACATGCCAATTCTGGTGCAGCTGTATCACTCCTGTTTCTGTTCCATTAAAAATAGTTGTAACTCACAACAAATAGAAACTTTTTTGCCTCAACTCACATCTTGGCATCGCACTGTTAGATATTTAACTTCAGCCATTATTCAGGGAAAGTACAATTGGCTAACATTTTTTTTTTAATCGGATGTCTAATAATTAATGGGATTAATTTAAGAAAAAATTAGGTGCACAAAGACGGACATGAAAAGTGGGTGCTAAAAACAAACAAAATTTCAGTTCATGTCTCTTGATAGCTATTTTCAACTCATTTCTTCTAAATAAACTACTTAATATTCTTGTCAGGAAATGACATTTTAATGCTTTGTTCCCTTAAGGGGAAGTAACTGTCATTTAACAAGCTGTTCTGTTTTGTGTCAAATGGTTTGTTGCAGGAAGCTATTATAACTCGAACTTCCAGATGCATTACTGCTATAATAGAAAAAAGAAGAAAATTATATAATTTTTTTTAAAGATATGAGATACTGGCTTCCATATCTGCCATGCTGCACGTATATAACTAGAGAGGGCAGAAAGCCCTGGTCTTTATCTGAGAACCGATCTCTTCTTTAACTGACTTGCCCACATGTAAATAGAGGGCTCTTTATTATTGAAGAAGAGTATTGTGTTTTGGAGGTTTTTTGTTTTTTGTTTTTTTTCCTTTGAATTCCTCTCAACTTGGGAAAAGAATTGTTTGGGTTTGATTTTTGTTTATGTCCAGAATGAGAAGTAAGAGGGTATTAATAAGCTGAACATTTATATTAGATATTCCTCTTGAAACATACACAGTAATATGCACCTTTTGTATTGTCAAGACTTATTCTATTTATTGAAGAAAATGTCACAGTAGTGATGTATTAAGCCAGTACTTCAATTACGGGTTGACTTGGGATGACATGTTACATGCTGTAGTTAACACACTTCTTTTCTGTTCAGGTATTTCTGTCCCTAAATAACTTTTTATTTAGCTTTTTTTTTTCTAGATAGCTTTTATTTGATTTAGACTGGCAAATGTTTTTATTACTGCTTTTATATTGCTGTATGATATTGAAATCTCTTGGCATAAATATTTGTGTTTCCAGTACCTCAGTTGTTCTGATATTACTGCCTGTATACGTTTTGTGAAGTGGTCATGTTTTTTGGGTAGGTACATGTGGACTCTGTAGTATGTAAATGTTACTTGAATTTGTGCTTAATTATAGTATGTGGCATGTGCGTACAGCTACTTGGCATTTGACGTATGGATGCTATTTGCCTGCCCTGCAGGAAAGTTATGGTCCCACTCTCAAGAGGATGTTTCACAGTTCTTTATCAAGAGACAAAGCTAGCTGCAGCTGACCTGCCTTGGTTCTATTTTGGTAACTAAGAATATAAAGGAGTAAAGTTTTTACACTCTGAAGATGGTGCTGTGTCAAGAAGGACTTTTTTTTTTTTTTTTTTTTTTTTAATAAGTACCTTATAGGAGGAAAGATTGGTGATGTGCATGGTGGGGTTTTACTGCCTCTGGTGCTTTGTCATGTATTTGGTTTAATGTTTTTGTCCTAATCTCTTCAATAAATAAAATTGTGCATATTTAACTAAGTTTCAATTGTGAACAATATTCTTTTGAAGGTCTGAGGTGCCGTTTAAGAACACTCAGCTGGTATCTTCTGTACGATTGAGAAGCTAGACCTGTGAGCTAAGAAGGCTTAGGAGGTATATTTACAAGGTCATGCTGTAAGCCTGTTCATCTAAAATTTTACAATCTTCTGCGAATGAAACTGACTTTTATTTTCTTTTGACCTGTTGGTGCCACTTGTCAAGCATATTTTCCTTTTTAATGGAGTGTGTTCAAATGCAGTGGGAACTCTGCCTTTCAACTCTTGATGATGGGAGGCTCTTCTGTTGATGGAAAGTTATAGAAAAACGAAGTAAGCTAGTATCTTCATTATTCAAAGTCCCAGAGAGATGTGAATCTTGCATTTATCCCTCAATTCCAGAAAAGATGGATCTGAAATAGCAGCTCCTAATTTATTGTCTTTTATTTAAGGCCAGAGTCCGCTACTGTCATTCGTCTTGAATAACAATTAATAGATCCACCTAGAGAGATCACCTAGAAGGGAGTGTGGAATAATAAGGTGCTCTGTCAGCGTGACAGTGAAGTGAAGATGGATTGACTCTGATCCAGTTAAAAAAAAAAAAAAAAAAAAAAAAAAAAAAAGACCATTTGAGTGGGGCTTTAATTTGAACCAGGATGTAATCTATTTTTGTCAGTTCTGTGGCATGAAAAAGCTACCGGTAGCCAATGATCACACCTAAACAAACAATCCCCCTCACCCCATCACTTCAAAATAACAAAATATTGCACCAAAGATGCTACCACTGGGTTTTTACTACCAGGCTGGCTAATGCTGTACTACGTGGTTTCATGCTAGGTTAATACTTGGCATGCATTCAGTATTTTTGTTGGTAGGTTGAGAATTAAAATTCTTACTTATAAGATGAACTGGAATTGTCATTAATATGTAAAAACACTTCAAGATTCATTTTTAAATGATCTGTGAGCCTGCAGCCAAAGTTTAAATTACTTGAAACTCTTTCAAATCAAACTCCCACAATAAATGTGCTTTATAGAGGAAAGCAGATTGTAATCAGTCATAGAGAGAAGGGGAGGGAGGAGCGCCGAGAGGATTTCCCTCTCCCCCACTAAAACTTATGTGAACGGCTTCTGTTCTGTTTGGGTGGAAGTAGTTAGACCTTATTTTACAGCAACCTGCATGCTTGCTTTTTCACTGCCAGTAATTATATGAAAAATGTGGCTGACTAATGATTGCTCGTTTGCAGTGAATTTTATATTCAAGGCAAAAGCTTCCTTGGTGTGACTGTGGAGGAATCCTTTGGCAACTGAAGTGAGCTGCTTTATAAAGTACTGAAAGGGTTTTCCGAGCTTCCTAGTTGCTCAAGTGAAGCCTGAAAAGGGTGGGGGATCTGTGATTCAGGCAGCTCTTTTCTGGCTCTTTCTAATTACTGCTTTATGAGCGCTGTTAGCGGAGTACTTGTAGGGAAACCCATGCTGTGGAAACTCCTCAGCAGCTTGTTTGATGCTGCTCAGCCCTCACTTTGGGTAGCAACTGCAGTCAGATTTAGGATCCTGCTGGGCGGAGATGATCAGCTGGGTTCGGTTGGCTCACGGTTTTGCTGAATGGGCTGACGTTCTCCTAATGAATTTAGGATGGAAAGCTGCATCCATTAATGAAACCACTTAGTACAACGTGACCTATGACAGGCTTTTGGAGGGGAAAACTGCTCCTCCCAATCCTCCCTCTCTCCTCTACCCTCTCGCCCCAAATGAAAAAACAGCATTTCATTATTTCATTATTTATGGTGATATTTATTTTTTTTCAGAGCAGTACTACTTGTGATTTCAAGCTGCAGGCTCTTCTTCAGGAGAGCACAAACAAGTTACAATTATTCCTTTGGTACCATGATGTCATATAACCTGATCCCTTGCTGAGGTGCGAATGTTTTATGGAAATAAACAAGTCAATTAAAAATATATCCTCTTAGACAAGAAAAAACCTTAGTACAACCTGTGTTTCCAAAAAAGAAACAAAAAAACCAACCCAACCCCCCAAAACACCAAACCACACTTTCCTGGCAAGCAGAAAGGAAGGGTATGAAATGCGATGCCAAGGAAAAATTATTGGGAAGCGGAAAAAAGTAATACTCCTCATCCTGAAATGATTATGCTGAAATTTGGAAATGTATGAGTGAGCTCTATGACTAATAACATAATGAATACCAAAAGAATTAGTAATGATCAGTTCTTTATTCTTTTAGTTTTCTCTAAGGTTTCTATGAAAAACTTGCTAATTTAATAACTGACAGTATAGCTAACAACTTAACTAACTTGTAACTTTCCTGCTCTTTCGCTAGAAGCAAATGTTGACAATTGGTAACATAATGAGACAAATTGAAATCAAAGTGTAGGTAGAGCAGGGAACAAATGACCTGTAATACGGTGTAATTCCACTGGAACATGACAAACGACTGAGGAGAGTTTATTTCAAAAAAAATAAAAAAAATAATGGGTTAATTCTGACTTTGACTTTTGCCTTTCCCAAAGCCCTTGTTAGTTACATTCTCAGTACCAATTTCCATATCTCTGTTTCTGCTTTTTTTCTGACTTCTAAATTAAGCCAATGTAGCCTGTTTGCTTGAAATTTTGACCCACCTGAAATGAGATATTTTTTTTCCCCAGGGAATTCTATAAACTTGTGAAACTAGGGCCATATTTGGCTTGCAAAAGTTTTAAGTATATTGGCTAGTGTATGTGAAAATGAGGAAAACTGTATTTAGAGTGATAGTGGTGTAAATCCTTAGAAATTCATTTGATATTATTTGTGTGGATGTAAATTGAGTCTGGAAATCATTTCTTAAGGGTCTAAATAAGCCTGACCTGTGTGCTGAGAGGTGTCATTTGTTCTAGTTATTGTTCGATTTAAATTCATTTAAACTCCTCGGTAAAAGTGGCTCAGCCCAGCCTTAGTACAGGAGCGAATCACGTTGTTCTGACTCTCCTGCCTTCTTAGCACAACATCCATAGCCTGCAGGGAAAAAATAAAATAATCTTGGTGTGGCAGCTTGTGGAAAGTAATAGGTTAGTTGCTGCATTTATTTCTGCTCAAGAGATTAAAGTGTAGTTGCAAAGCTGGTGCTGACATCATTCCAAGCACACAAATACAGCTGACGTCAGTTATACAGTATATTGCAAGGTGTTTATCTTCATCTGATTAGGTTAGCAAAATGCATACTGCAAAGCCAGCACACAAAGAAGGAAACAGTTTATTTGCCTTGTGCTTCTCATTTGTCCTCTGACAGGGCAGTTGGTCCTAGAAAGACTAAAACACTTTGTGCTTAATAAGGGTCTTGTAAGAATCTGTGGAGCTCCCACTGGGCTTGACTTTTTCCCATGTTAATCTCCAAACATCAGTATTAAGGTATAAACTTGGTTTGACTTAGATGCTGGGTAGCCCCTCCTTGCAGGGAAGTCCACATCTGACCTTCTTTCTGGTCTCCACAAATCCGACTGAAGTGACAAGCCGGAAAGGTACCTCATGACATAACAGTTCAAAATGGTGTTTTAGGAACTGTTTATTTAAGTGTTTATTGAGTTTGTTGATTAACTTGTTTATTTAAGTGTGCATGATAGGACAGCAAGGAACCCAGGTGGGAGGCAGCCAGCTGGCTGGTAGCAGTGAGGGGTGCTACAGCCTCAGTACCTTGTCAGGAGTAAGTGAGCAGTACCAGGTGCTGCTAAAAGGGTTGGAGTTGTGGTTACGTTGTTTTCCCCCGTGCATGCGTTTACCTGAGACGTGGAAGACAGCAACGGAAGAGTCAGGTGTCTAGTTTCTTCTTTCCTGTCAAGAAACCGTTGTGCCTTAACGTACCCTTAAAAAGTCACTTCTGCCTGTAACAACAAATATCTGCAATAAGAAGGCACCTACAAATAGCGGGCTTTGTGGATCATTCCTATTATAGTGTCAAGCTACAATTTTTCAAAGTATGGGGTAGAGGTGGACAAGTGTATGATTTCTGCTCATACTGACTCTAGGAACCCAAGTCAATAACCCACGTGTTGTGCTGTAGGATAGTGGAATTAAACATATGCTTATGTTCTATACTTAAAATTAACAGGAAAATTACAGGGCTTCCTTTGAGTATGTGACTTGGACACTTATGTATGCTTCTAGAGGAAGAATATCATTGCTGCATATGCACCACTAGTCCCAACTATTGACTAGCTGAATGATGCCATTCAATGTTTATTTCAATCTTTTTTTTTTTCCTCCGAGTTGGTTATGTCCGTTGTTTCTCTCGTACCAGTTTACAGTTAAATTTTGATCTAATTCAGTGGACTGGATATCAAGACAAAATTTTGGCATACATTTAAGTCAGAATTAGAATATCATGGGCCTAAATGTTTAAGTTCCGCTTTATGCAGTTACCATTTAATTTTGAAAGTTAAATATCAACCTGCTAGAAAGAAGGGAATTCATGCATACCAGCCACCACAGGACTAATCGAATTGTTGTTACTTCCTATTTTGTTGTATTCTACTCCTTCCTATGTGTAATCACCATAACCACAGATTATCTGTGCTTTCTAAGTGTTTGTAATTGCTAATTAAGAGAGTTAGCTTTCACATTAGAAAGAAATGTGCCTGAACCCTGTGAATAGCTTTTAGAGTAGTTATGAGATGGAATGTGTTTATAGGTAAAAATTGCAGCTCTTCTGGGTATGGAGTTACTTATGGGGCTCCAGCTGCATTAGAGTAAAATGATTTTACCACATACAAACTTTTTATTAGACTATTCTTTCTTTTAAAAATTACATAACATATCTGCTCTCTTTGGTAACTCAAATCAAGGCCAATCAAATCAACATGCTCAAGATGAGCAAGTACATACATATTTTACTATTTGCTACTTTTTACAAACTCTATAATTCAGTCAAATGCACATTTCTCGGAAGAGTGATAGCATGATTGCAACAGAGACTTTATGAGCTGAGAAATAAAAATCATCTTTTTTTTTTTTTTT